AAAAAAAGTTTAAAAAAAAAAAAAAAAATAAAAAAAAAAAAAAAAAAAAAAAAAAAAAAGGTGTGTCAGGCCAGCCCATGTCCTGGTGGTTGAGGCAGCTGGATACCATATAGACAATTTAATGGTTTAAGTCCTGGATTTGGTGACTTGAAAAACACATCAGGAGGGGGCCAGCTGAAGGCATAGTGGTTACATCACTAGACTCACACATGGCTGGCTGTGGTTTGAGTCCTAGATCTGGTGGCTCGAAAATCATGCCGGGCACGTGTGTGTATATGTCCAAGATCCCAGGAGGAGAACAGAGGAGAAGAAATTGTGGCGTGGCCATGCCCCCTGGGGGGAATGACTTCTCACTTCCCTCTCACTGTCTCTGTCTCTTTCTCCAGTGAGTAGCCTTGACTTATGGCAAAAATCTCTCACAAATAAGAAAAAAGAAAAACACACCAGATGCATATGCATATGTGCCCAAAATCCCAAAAGAAGGGAGAAGTGAAGAAGGGATTGTGACACGACCCTTGGGGGGGGGGGGGGGGGAGGGTTTCTTTCCCTTTCTGTCTCTCAGTCTCTCTATGCCAAGCATATGCATCCTCTGGCAAATTAAAAATATATGACATCTGGGCTCAGTGCCCTTATGGTTAAGATATGGATCCCACATGGTTTGAATCCTAGACCTGGGAGCTTGAAAAATACACTGGGTGTGGATGCATGCCTGAAGTCCCAAAAGAGTGGAGAGATGGAGAAGAGACTGTGGCATGTCTATGCCCCAATAGAGTATACTTTTCCCCTCTCCCTCCCTGACTTTCTCTCTGACAAATGCACGCGCTCTTTGGGAAAATTTTTTTTCAAAGAGTCAGTTTAGAGATAATCAGCGTGGTATGCAATGTTATCACCCAACAGTGCCAGCACATGGATCTGATTTCCTGGTCTTTCTATGCTCTTTATCTAATCCCTCTGGGTGGAGCCTAGAGTCCTCCAATGGTCCTTCAAAGAGGTTTCCAGAGATTGAGTTTCATATCTGTATTTTTTTACTTTAATTTTCTTTGTTATTATTATTTTAAATATGTTTTTTTAATTTCAAGAAAGGGAATTTTAACTTTAATAAATCAAATTTTTAAAATGTAAAGATAACTTTGCTTGAGAGTTAAAGCCATGATGCAGGTTAGGATTCTGTTCCAACCGTAGTTACCTGGATCTGTCGACAATTCAGGAGAAGAAAAAAATTCTTATATCTGAACTACAAAGCATAGAAAAAGAACAGTATTGTTTTAGTCAAAAGCCATAAAGTTCCATTTCATCAGTTCAGTCTCATGTACTTAATCTAACTTCTGTTGTGGTCCAAGTTTTGAGTTTAAATTCTGAAAGATAATATTCAACTCTGGACTTGTCCCTCCCATTAAGCTGGCCCTTTTCTTAGATTTTTTTTTTAATTCTTATTTCTGTGTGTCTGACATTACTTTTCCTGATATAGCACTCCCTTCCGAACTTCTTGGAGAACTGGTCTGGTGTCTGTAAATTCTTTCAGGTTTTGTTTATCTGAGAATGTTCTTGTCTTCTCTTTCCATATGAAGGATAATCTTGTAGGGTATAGTATTCTTGGTTGAAACGGTTTTTCACTCAGTATTTTGAATATATTTTCCCATTCTTTTCTTGCCCACTTTGTTTCCAATAAGAGGTCCACTGTTATCCTGATAGAATATCCTTTGTAAGTAACTGTTTCTCTCTTGCCAATCAGAGTACCTTGTCTTTGTGGTTTTGGTCAATCTGGCTATAATGTGTCTTGGAGAAGATCTTCTTGTGCTGATTCTACTTGGGATCCTATGCATTTCTTGAGTCTGGATCTTTGAATGCCTCTCTAGGTTTGAAAAGTTTTCTTCCAGGATTTCATGAATTAGATTATCAGTGCCCTCATTAGTCTCCTCACCTTCTCGGATACCAATTATCTGGATGTTTGGATGTTTGATGGTATCCAGTATTTCTTATATATTATTCTCATTTTTGGGCTATTTTCTAAGATTTCGTGGTGATTTTTTTAGGCCAGCAATTTTGTTTTCAAACTCTGAGATTTGGTCGTCTATATGATCTAGTCTGCTTTTAATACTTTCAAGAGAGGTTTTGATTTCTTGTACTACAGCCTTCATCTCTAACAGTTCTGTTTTATTCCTTTTTTGTGTTGTACATTTCTTCCTTCAGATCGTACAAGAACTTTCTCACCTCCTGGAACTCCTTGGCTCTATTCTCCTGTCTCTTCCGGAGTTCATCGTCTCTTCTCTTGCATCTCTGTTAATTTTGTCACTATGAATATTCTAAATTCTTTCTCAGACATTTCCATGATTTCTATGGAACTGTCTGTGGATGAAGAGGAGTTATTCTTTTCTCTTGGAGGAGAGGTATTTTCTTGCTTTCCCATATTTCTTATGACCCTGCAGTGATTTCTAGTCATCTGATGGATGGTGTGTTTCTTCCTAATTCTTGAAGTTCAATCTAAGCGTTCAGGAGTGTGCAGGAGGAGATGATCTGCAATCTCTTT